CTCCCTGAGGAATTCACAATGTTGTGGCTGGCAATTCTTGAGAGGTGGGGTTTCAGTCTGGGAAGATTCTTGCTAGAGGGTGTTGCTAATAAACATTGCTGGACTGAATTTACATGGTCTCTTGGAGTTCCTTGGGCTAGGCCTGACATCAGGGTTGAGAAATGCTGATCTGGATGACCGACCAGAAAGGGCATTAATTTTCCCCACTTGTGGCAAAGGCCACGTCCTAGAGAGGCCCACAATGGTGGAACCCTCTAGGCACCTCCTGTGTGGCCATTTTGGTTTCCATCAGCCCATGGCTATGTAGAATGTAGAACCAAGAGGAGGATTCCCACCCTTGTTTTTCACTTAATCGACAGCAGCTGCGTATTCCTGGTCTGTGAATGTTGGTACTAAATGTCCCACTTCCAATGTCCCACTTCTGCTCCTCTTCGCAGGATCATCTGGCTGAGTCCTTCACTTATTCCCCATTGCCATGCCTCAACATCAAGCACAAAAGACCGATGGAAATTCTACCCTTGGTAATCCCAATTTATCTGGAGGAGTCCAATTTGGACCAAGGCTGCATTAAGATTTGGTCCTTCCAACATCATCTTTGCTTTCTTCATGAACCATCACCTTTGAAAACCCAAAAGGTAATTTGAAAAGAGTCATATCAGATGCTGAGGACAAGCCACAGGTTGGAAGCAGAAGCCTCTGAGTAGATAATTCTGGCCTGATCTAATGAGTGAATGCTAAGGTGCTTATTGCAATGTCCACCAGCAATCATTTCATTCTGTGCCACCAGGTATCAAGTCAAACTGGTAGCAAGGGGACATTTCAAGCAAGCGTTCCAGCCAATGCGAACACATACTTGGCTAAAAGGGTGCCCAATCCAGGGCTTCTTCTGGTAGTGAAGAAACCTATCTCATGGCCATGGCTCTCCTAGGAATGTTGACACAGAAGGAAAGAACACCCAGCACTGCCCCACCTCAGATGACCTCAGCTTCTTTACTGAGAACTTAAACTTGGCCTCCAGAACACCTCCCTGCCTTTTCAACCTTGACGTTTACTTGGCAAAGAAATATGTCCCATCTCCTAAGCCTTCCTTCTGGATTCCTTGAGATTTCTACCCCCTTGGTAGAGAACAGATGACTCACAGTTGAAAATAAACCTGCTTGGCTTTGATACAAAATGGCTCTGGGTACCACTGGGTGAAAGCACCACCCAGTTGGGCTATGTAAAGTCACCCTGCATTGTCCCATTCACTCAAGCTCCTCTCCCCTCCCCTGTCCCCACATCAGAATCCACAGCTTCCTTGAATTCCGCTCCCCTTACCATGCCACTGTGGGAATGCCGGAGAAGAATAGCGTGTCCATAAAGCAGAGTCCGGTGTCCACCACCTTGAGAGGACTGGGAATGACAAGGCAAAAGATAAATTCAAATCACCCAGTGTATTTGACAGCCCTACCTGTGGAATGTTCAACCTGGAGCTCACTCAAATCAATGCACCATCCCACAAGAAATGTTGCCAGCTTTTGCCTTCTGTATCATTCACAAGGCCCCAGACCTTGTGGGAAACCAAGAATTAAGAGGTAGGATTGAAACCTACTTACTATAAGGTGAAAAGGTAACAAACCCTTAGTCAAGCTTGACTCTCGGTTACTTCATGGACATGTCCACGTAGTTTTCTTGGCAACGATATGGTTTTCCATCGCCTTCTTCTTAGATTTTTAATTTTATTTTCTAGACTAGCCTGTGGCCCTGAATATTTCCTGCTGATCTCCCATCCAAATGACTAACCAGAACTGACCCTGCTTAGCTTTTTAAGATCAGCCAAGATTAAACAGATGGTGTTACTGCTTCGACTCAACAACATGCTAAGGTATGGTAAAAAGCACAATTACTTATATTTGATTCAGGCAGACCTGCTCCAGTTCTCAGGTATAAAAGAGTCTGGAAAGCAGATGTTAAAACTGTGGGATGACTTCAAGAATCAATAAACCCCAATCACTTTACCAAACATCATACCGTACAATTTCACCATGGTGTGTGGTCAAGTTCTCCTCAGTACTGGGCTAGACAATGCAACAACTTGTTTCCCAAGTGGCACCCATGGAAACACAGAATGTGGCGGTTACAATAAGTGGCCATCACAGTAAGGTATATGTTCATCTCCCCATTACACCCCCCCACATAACGCCGTAGGTCTTCTATCTACTGAAGAGATGGAAGAGCTTCTCTTGAGCAACTAAGTGTTCAATGCCAGGTGGACCCGCGTATTGCTTTTCAGCAAAAGCTGCACTTTCACCCAAGGGGGGGGCAAAGATGCTTAGCTGGGGAAGGGCTGGAGGCTTCCTGGGCCTTTGCACCACTGTGCAGTTACATTAGGCCAGACCATCTGCAAATACTTTCCCCTCACTACTATTTCAGCCAAGGCAAGGAAGACCTTTGTACGCTCTCATACATATGTTGATGCACTAATTTCAAGAAATCCAGTGTTT